CATCTTCTTGTTATAACCTTACTGGATGAAAGAAGCAAGGGAGTCCTCTGGGGCCTCTTTTTATAAGGGGACTTATCCCACTCATAAGGGCACCATCCTCATGACCTAATCACCTCCTAAAAGCCCCATCTCCATGGGGTGCCTGGGTGCCTCAGTCGTTAAGCGTCTGCCTTCAGCTCAGGTCATGTCCCCAGGGTCCTGGGATTGAGCCCCGTGTCGGGCTCCCTGCTCTGCAGGGAAGCCTGCTTCTCTCTCTCCCACTCCCCATGCTTGTGTTCCCTCTCTCGCTATGTCTCTATCAGTCAAATAAATAAATAAAATCTTTAAAAAAAAAAGCCCCACCTTCAAATATCATCACATTGGAGATTAGGTGTCAGCATATGAACTTGGGAGGTGGGGGGACACAGAGGTTCAGTTTGTAGTATTAGCCATTATCTGCTTCCCTTTCCCCATCAGCCCTATAGACAACCACTTTACTTTCTGTCTTTACAGATTTGCCTATTGTCGACATTTTCATATATATAGAACCATACAATATGTGCTCTTTTGTGACTGTCTTGTTTCACTTCACATAAATTTTTGGGGTTTTTCCATACTATAGTATGTATCACTTCTTCAATCCTTTTTTTTTTTTTTTTTTTTGGCCAAACACTATTCCACGATATGGAAATAGTGCATTTTATTTATTCATTCATCAGTTGGACATTTGGGTTGATTCCTCTTTTGGCTATTATAAATAATATTATTTGATAGCATTATGCATATGAACATTTGTGCACAAATTTTTGTGAGGACATGTTTTCATTTCTTTTGGGTATATAGTCAGAAGTGGAATTAGTCATATAGTATCTGTTTAAAATTTTGAGGAACTGCCAAATTTTATTTCAAAGTGGCTACATCATTTATAGTCCAGTCAGCAATGTATGAGTGTTTCAATTTCTCCACATCCTCACTTGTTCTTTTATTATAGCCATCCTAATGGTTGCAAAGTGGTATCTCATTGTGGTTTTGATTTGAATTTACCTAATGACTAATGAGGTTGAGCATCTTTTCATGTTATTATTATCCATTCACAGAATTTTCTGGGGAAAAATATCTGGAACTTTTGCCCATTTTTTAATTGGGTTGTCTTTTTATTATTGAGTCATGAGTTCTTTATATACTCTAGATACAAGACACTTCTCAGATATACGATTTGCAAATATTTCCTTCCATTCTGTGCATTTTCTGTTCACTTTCTTGGTGGTCTCATTTAAAGCAAAGTTTCTAATTTTGATGAAGTTCATGAATTTTTCTTTAATGTTTTGCTTTTGTTATCATAGCTACAAAATGACTAAAGGTCATGAAGATTTAGTTTTTGTCTAGCTTTACAGTTTTATTTTTATTTTTGCACATGTGCACACACGAGAGAGAGAGAGAGAGAGAGCGAGCGCACAAGCAGGGGGAGGGGCAGAGGGAGAAGCTGACACCCCACTGAGCAGGGAGCCTGATGTGGGACTTGATGCCAGGACCCTGGGATCATGACCTGCGCCAAAGGTAGACGCTTAACCGACTGAGCCACCCAGGTGCCCTAGTTTTACAGTTATAGATATTAAATTTAAGTTTTTGATCCATCTGAATTAATTTTTGTACATGATGGGATATAGGGGTCCAACCAGATTCTTTTGCATGTGGGTATCGAGTTGTCTGGCACCACTTCCTGAAAAGACTATTCTTTTCCCATTAACTGTCTTGGCATCCTTGTTGGAAATCAAACGGACCTTACATGAATGGGTTTACTTCTGGACCCTGAATTCCATTCCATCGATCTACGTGTATCCTTATGCTAGTACAACACTGTATTGATTAGTGTAGCCTTGTAGCAAAGTCTGAAATAGAGAAATGTGAGGCCTCCAACTTTGTTCTTTTTCAGTATTATTTTGTTCGTGGCCTATTTCCATTTGAACTTCAGAACCAGCTTGTCAACTTCTGCAAAAATGCCAGCTAGGGTTTTGATAGGGCTTGCACTGAAACTGTAGATCAGTTTGGGGAGTATTGTTATCTTAACAATATTCAGTCTTCTGATCTATGAACATGGGAGGTCTTTGCAATTTATTATATGTATTTTTAAACAGTTTTTAAAAAAGATTTTGAAAGAGAGAGAGTGAGAGAGAGCACCCGAGCAGCAGGGAGGGGCAGAGGGAGGGAGAAGCAGACTCCCCGCTGAGCAGGGAGCCCGATGTGGAACTCCATCCCAGGACCCTGGGATCATGACCTGAGCCGAAGGCAGACGCTTAACCGACTGAGCCACCCAGGCACCCTTAAACAGTTTTGATATGAGGTACTACATTGATGTTAAACCAACCTTGCATGACTAGGATAGATCCCAGTTGGTCATGGAGTATAATGCTTTTCATGTGGCTGGATTTGATTTGCCTTTTTTTTTTTTTTTTAAAGATTTTATTTGAGAGACAGAGAGTGAGCACAAGCAACGGGAGCGGAAGAGGGAGAAGCAGGCTCCCCGCCAAGCAGAGCTCGATGCAGGGCTCAATCCCAAGACCCTGGGATCATGACCTGAGCCCAAGGCAGACGCCCAACCAACTAGCCACCCAGGAACTCCTGGATTTGATTTGCTAGTATTTCCTTGAACTTAATGTGTAGATTGTTTTCAACAAATTTGGCACATTATCAGCCATTATTTATTCAAATATTTTTTCTGTCCCTTTGTTTCCTCCTCCAGTATACCCATTATGAGTGTGTTTGTGTGCTTAATGGTGTACCACTTTCTCTGAGGTTCTGTTCATTTTTCTTCACCCTTTTCAAGTCCAGAATTTTCATTTGGAGTGTGTATGCATTCTATCCTTCACTGGTATTTTTTTTTAATTTAATTTTATTATGTTATGTTAGTCACCATACATCATTAGTTTTTGATGTGGTATTTTCTTTTTCACGTCATTATCATCATACATTCTTTTAATTACTTAAACATGGTTGAAGCTCTTTAGATGTATTTATAATAGCTGCTTTGAAGTCCTTGTCCACCAAGTTCAACATCTGATGCCCTCAAAGGAAATTTCTACTTTTTTTCCTGTGTATGGGTCACATGTTCCTGATTCTTTGCCTCTCATAACTGAACAGTTCAGATAATATATTATAGCAGCTCTGGATACTGATTGTCCCTGCTCTGGGGTTTATTGCTGTTGTTTAGTAACTTGGCTACACTAAGTCTGTGAAGTCTGTTTCTCCACAGTATGCAGCCTTTACTTTTCCTGTTTGGATTTTTTCTTGCTTTTATCTTTAAACCTGGCATCCTAAGGGTCATCCCTGGGTCGTTACAGTTTAGCAGTCAGTCACTGATTGATCTGAGTTGTACTGAAGCCCCTGAGCCAGTAAGGTTTTCATTTTTTGCTGTGTGATCTGCGTGGTTTGGAGACTGCTTTCACATTACAGGGAGTTTACAAGTTTGTTCCACATTTAGCCAAGGACTAATAGCAAAGCAGTTTCCTCTCCAGTTGCTCCTAAAAGTGTGGCCTTAGGTAAGAGCACATTATTCTATACCATCAGGCCTCCTTTGCTGTCTCTTTCTGATCTCCCTGTTAAATTTCTGATCTGCCTCCATTGGTATCATACTATGCTTTTGGCCCCCAGTAACTGTTAGCTGATTTTTATTTTGAACAATTCCTTGGAGGCATAAATTGCTCCACTATCTAAAAAAAGTCAGGCCCCTCAGGCCAGGGCCAGCATGTTACCAGTCTTTGAGGTTTTCTGACCCCTCCCTTGCAGAACCTCTGTATTATAGAACAGTATCTGGGAGGAGCTGCCACTTGGTTTCCAAGCCTCCCAGAATACCTCTCCTGAAACAGAGTTGGGTGAATGGGTGTAGCCTCTACTTCAGATGTTACAGCCTACTACTACTATTACTGAATTCTGTAGATTTTGAATAAATGGTTCTCAATTTGTTGTAAATCCTTTTATTATTCTCCAGAGACTGAATGATTAGTCTAATTTTGACCAATTAGATAATTCTCTGGGGAATTCCAATGAACTCTTCACATTGCCATCCAGAAAACCTCCCCATTTTAATTTTCAACTGACTGCAGAAACTGGTGATCATGTTTGCAAATTTAACCTAGCTATAAAGCTGATTGTAAATAGAAAAATGATTTCTAATTTTTAAAGCTAAAAGTACTATCTAATTTTAAAAATTATATACTATCTTCTCTCATTACCTCAGGTAACAGAAAATTGTCTACAAATGGATACAAGGGGAAAGTAAAGCATATAAAAATTGCAGTCTTGTTCAATTTCATGGGATATTAACTGTGTTATTGTATCCAGGGCTGGAATACCCATAAATGATCTGGATGTCAAATTTTTGAATAAATGCTTATTCATATATTCAGCACTTTTTCCAGAAAGGCTCACGCAACTCTGTTCAATCAGAAGGTAAAGTATAGAAAAATGCGTACTACTTCAGTAAGCTACTACCTTCTGGGACAGTCTTCAATTACATTCTATTGTTATACTTTGAATTGATATACTTCAAAGGTAGGAAAAACTTTTATATCTTTTTTTCCCCTTTATGGCTTTTCAATGAAATTTCACAGATTTTCTATCATTTTATATACCAAACCTTTGAAAGATAGACATTAGAATCTAAATTTTACCAAAGAGGGAATCAAGAGGCAAAGTACTTAAGTGTCTTCCAAGGTCACACAATTCATTAATGATAAACCTAGAACTAGAAGCAATGAAAGGACTCCTTAACATCAAGCCTTCAACTCTGTGCAGCAAATAAGCTAATATTCTTCCTCGAAAGTTGAAAAAATTTGCTTTCCTGTTACATACTTAAAAGTGGACTTTAATTCACAGGTATTTGTTATGCTCCTTGGGAAGACATCCTTTTCTGAGTTATTATAAAAATAAAGCATTGATGATTCAGGTCAACAATATATTCTGTTAAACATTGTTGGTCATTGTCTTAGATCAGGCAGCTATAACAAAATACCACAGACCGAGTGGGTTAAAAAACAAATTTATTTCTCACAGTTCTAGAGGCTGGAAGTCCAAAGATCAGGGTGCCAACATGGATAGGTTCTGGTGAGAGCCCTCTTTCTAGCTTGTACATGGCTACCTTCTTGCTGTATTCTCACATGGTGGAGAGAAAGATCAGTACCTCTCTTGTCTCTTCCTATAAAGGTACTAATCCCATTGATGAAGGCTCCACCCTCATGACCTAATTACCTCCCAAAGGCCCCACCTCCAAATACAATTAGGGGTCAATACATTAGGGGTCAGGGCTTAAATGTCTGAATTTGGGAGAAATAAACATTCAGTCCATAGCATCCATCTTTATAAAAAACAATGTTTTTATATGACAAAAATAGTCTTTCTATATTAAAAAAATGAAGTACAAAGTTACATCAATTGAAGAGATTTTAAAAATACCAATTTTATTTTCTTTTTTAAAGATATATTTATGTGAGAGAGAGAGTACAATTGGGGGGAGCGGCAGGGGGGAGAGGGAGGAACAGAGGGAGAGGGAGAAGTAGAAAAGCAGACTCCCAGCTAAGCCCTCCCTGAGGCAGGGCTCAATCTCACAACCCTGAGATCATGACCTGAGCCAAAATCAAGAGTCAGATGCTCAACAGACTGAGCCACCCAGGTGCCCCAATATAATATCAATTTTAGAGAATAATTTTTCTTATTTCTAGTAAACCATTGAGTGATATAAAATGTATCTGATATAAAGAGAGAATGTCTGCAAACAACAGAAATTTTATGTGAGACACCACAGACTTATCTACTTTTCTTTCCAGATCATCCTCAAGACCAAGAGGAAGAAGTTATGATGAAAAGAAAAATAAAATGTTAGAAATATTTTTTTTAAAGATTTTATTTATTTATTTGAGAGAGGGGAAGAGTACAGAGGGAGTGAGAAGCAGACTCCCCACTGAGCAGAGAGCCCGACTGGGACTCGATCCCAGGACCCTGAGATCACAACCCAAGCCGAAGGCAGCTGCTTAACAGACTGAGCCACCCAGGGACTCCAAAATGTTAGAAATCTAACAGCAACTTAGTATTGAACATTATTAAGTCAATATTTATAATGTCAACAATTTTACATAAATACTAGGTAAAGAAAGTATTCTTTCTGTACAGTTGGGATAATAAATCAAATTTTCTGTTTTTCTTTTCTAGGCAATGTTTGCTCTACAGCTAAATAGCTATTCTTATTTAAATCTTTTTTTTTCTTTGCCATGAACATTCTTCAAAAAAGAGTTTTCAAATAACTAGATGTGGCTTATTTGCACATCTAATCTTAAGTGGGTTAAAAAACTGGATCAAGAGAAGAATATGAACAGAAAAGATACCCAGGAAATCACTACTGAACAAAAAGACAAACCTAAGGGAAAAATATTTTTTTCCTGGAACAAAAACTTAGGTTTAGAAATTTCTTCCATGACTGGAAGATTGTTAGGGATTAAATTTCATGAAAAAGGGGCGCCTGGGTGGCTCAGTCGGTTAAGCGTCTGCCTTCAGCTCAGGTCATGATCCCAGGGTCCTGGGATCGAGCCCCGCATCGGGCTCCCTGCTCGGCGGGAAGCCTGCTTCTCCCTCTCCCACTCCCCCTACTTGTGTTCCCTCTCTCGCTGTGTCTCTCTCTGTCAAATAAATAAATAAAATCTTAAAAAAAAAAAAATCATGAAAAATAATTAAATCCCTTCTCACAAATGAAAGTTCCACTTGATCTTAACGACCAAGATATCATGTTCTGAATAACAATATGGAAAGTTATTTGGACTGCAAACTTAAAAACAAAAGAGAACTCTCTAAGTGAGAAAGGTTATCTATTGGGGACACTATCACATTTACTTGAAAGCAGCTAAAACTTTTTTACCCAGGTATACAGGCAACATTCCACACCAATAAATACTCCCTCTCTTGTTCTAAACACTTTTTTCACTTGGCTTCCAGCACAACAACCAGTCTCCTCACTTTTCTTCTAGCCACTGGTGGGTCTTTCTCAGCCTTTTGCTGGTTCCTCCTTTTCTCTTCTACTTCTTAATGCTGGCTTACACCACAGGGCTCAGTCCTTTTCTTTTTTCTAGCTGCACTAAGTGATCCCATACAATGTCATGGCTATTCACTAATGATGCCCAAATTAATTTTGCCAGTCCCAACGTGTACCCTGAACTCTAGACCTGGATATCCACCTGCCTACTCAGCATCTCCAACCTAACATGGCCAAAACAGAACTTCTGAGTCCACACTCCTCCAAATCTGTTCCTCCTCCAGGATGCCTCATTTCTGCATTCCAGAACTCACCCAGTTGCTCAGTCAAAAACCTAGGAGTCACCCGTTACTCCTCTTTTTCCCTCTCTTCATATCCAAGCTAACAGCAGATCCTATCTTCTCTACCTTTAAGATAGAGCCTAAATCCAATATCTAACCACCTCCCCATCATCTACCACACTAGTCTAAGACTCTTGTCTGGAACTCTAATAACTTAACTGGTCTCTCTACTTTAACCCTTAATCTTCTTCAGTCTAACCTTCAAACTACAGCTCCATACAGGTAAATCAAAGTATATCACTCTGCTCTCAATCCTTCTAATGGCTTCCTATTATATATCTATAACACATTATAAGGGCCTTCATGAACTACTCTCTGGTTTCTCTCCTATTTCATTTTTTACCACTCCTCTCCTTTAATTACTGTATTGTAACCTTACTGGCCTCTCTGCTATTACTCAAATGGGCTAACTAAGTTAACATTTTTAAGCCTTTCACAACTTGCCTTTACCTCTGCCCAGAATGCTCTTTCCCCAAATATTCACATGGCTCATACACTTATTTCATTAGGGTTTCTGCATAGGTCACCTCCTCAAACAGGCCTTAAAGTAGCAACCCTCTCAATATTCTGCCCCTATTCCTTGCTTCTTCTTTATAGCACCTCATACTATATTTTTGCTTATATATTTATTGTCTGCCTTCTCCAAAGGGATGTAGTAAATTCTACAAAAGCAGTACTTTGTATTGGTCACAGTTACACAGCCAGCACACAAAAGAGTATCTGCCACATAGTAAGCTAGATAAATATGTATTGAATCAAAAAATGAATGGGATTCTAGTCTGAACACTACCTAATAATACAGAGTTTTGTTTTGCTTTAAAGGAAAAAAAACCCACAAGGAATGTGCCCTTAAAAACAAAAGTAAACTTAGCTTAATTCCTCTCAAATGATATGAATTTTATTAAAAGGGGAAAAGGTACTCAGTAGTAGTGAGGCTGAATTTTCAGCAAGATATTCTAGCTATTATAATTTTTTTTTTAAAGCTTCAGAATTATCGCTGAAAATAAAGTCTGTTTATTTGGGCCTGACCACTTAAAAATGGGATATATATAACATACACATACACACACAAAATAGTATAGTTTTGTGAAATCAAACTGGAATAAATAGGAACATTTTAGATTATCCCACAATCCTTTCCACTTCCTTCTCTTATCAAATTGCTACCAGTGAAGGCCCAGGAAGCTACCAACTAGTTAGAGTTAGAAAAAAAAAAGAAATGTTATATCCTGTTAACTTGATGCTGACATTGTTGTTCACAATAAGGAAAATGGCAATATTCCCAGAGGTTTCAGAGGCAGGGCACTTTGCAAGAGTATGTCTGTGGCTTAAATGCCACTATATATTACCTGCTCTCTTCCATCAATGCAACTTACAGTCCACAAGAATGTGAAATATCCTGTCACATAACAGATGTATCTATGTATAACTCGGTGGAAGGCAGAGCCTGATGATGAAGTCATTTTTTACTAGTGAGCTAAAGAATTTAGATCCTGAAAAATAAAGTTAGCCACACTGAGGCTCTCCTGGACAATGCACAGAAGGCCAGTCCAGGTACTCCCTGAGGATGGCAGTCTGTTGATGAAAAGATTATGGAAACTCAAGTTGAACCACTTGGCCTCTCTAGCAACAAGGAAAAGAATTTAGTCCGGTATGGTCAGTTCGTTTCAGTCAAAATTCACTTAATGCTGATGCTGTGGTTTATGCTCTCTGATCAGGGGACAGAAGAATGATGAATACTACTTCTTATGAAAAGTTTCAAGCCTTGTAACCCCTCTGAAAATAAATAGTCCAAATACCAGTTCCATTTCTTTCCCTGCAGGCACAAAAAAGGGAAAATTACTTATCAAATATTTACTATGCTTATTCTCTACCTCCTCTTCTTTCCCTAGGAAAAGTTCCCAGTGTCCTGAATGCACATACCAAGAGTTAGCTCAGAGGGGCCAAGTTCCTAACTGGAACTCAGGCACTAGAGTAACATCCAAACCAGAAAGTACCCAAAATTTAAGGGCTAAACATTCCTTTGATTATACTGGCAAAAAATTTTAGCTGTTCAACTGAACAAGTACTATGAAATGGAAATGGGTCATCATCCACATGCTCTAGAAATTTAACATCTAAAATAGATAACATGGGAGCAGACATTATTAGATTACTGCCTACATTAAATATCTACACAGCAGAGTTTCTATAATAACGAGACAACTGTGCTAGGTTTTGTTAAATCAGCCTCATTACAGTCACACTTTGAATATATGCAACTGTACTATAAAATGAGACAATGCACAGATAAAAGAGCAAGAGTCAAACTGAATAGTTATATCTTAGAGAAGACTGTAGAGGATATGTGCCAATAAATTCACATAAAAGTCACCGGAAATAACTCAGGAGGCAAACATTTCACTTTGCCTTTGTGGAGGCAGCAGGCTTAAGACTGGGAGAAAAGGAAAAGTATAAATTTTTTGATGAAATGAAGCTATAGTAAATCCCTGAACATGATGAAAATAAATTTATTTACCCGAATAGAGCTCATGCTTACTGTCCTTTCTTCTGGCCATTCCTTAAGAAAAAAAAAAAAAAAAAAAAAAAGGGGAGATAAGAGATGAAAATATTTGGTTAGCAAAAATTACCAGAAAATTAGGACGTCTCTTCGCTGCCTGATTCATTTGCTACATTTTATTCCTACTACCACTCTTGCATTCCTTTTGAGTAAACACTCACTATAACCTTCCATATTTCTCCCTAATTTGGAGCCCTACTCTTCTGAATTAGTTTTCTACTCAAGAGCTGTAGATAATTATGTTTTTTCACACAGTATCTTCTGTGCCAGACTGTTGGCAATGCAACATTTCTTAAAAGAACTAAAAGATACCAGTGTTGGGGTCCCAATTACATAAACCTAACCTACTTTTGGCTCCTGCTTCAAGGAAAGTCCATAACATGTATGGTACACTGCTTTCCTGCCCTCTTTCTCTAAGACATTTGGTTTTTGGGGCTTAAAAGAGTGTTCCAATATTTTCTCCAAGTTTTTTCCCCAACCTGCTGACAACCATCTTGCAAGGTCTGATTCTGGTAATCTGCCTGGGCACACTCAAAAACAGCAAATGACAACTATATTTTCATTGCTGCCTGGCTGACATCAATTACAAGATGAATCCTGATCTCTGAGAAGCTAAAAAGTAAAAAGAACATGTGTTTTTACTGATTATATATTCTATATTTATTTCTCTAGTTTCAACTTCTCTCCTGAACTCCAAGCCCAGCTTCAAACTGCCTATACTTACACTTCTTGGATGTCTAACAGGCACCTCAAACTTATGTAGGTCAAAACAGAACTTGAGTCTCAGCTTGCCCTCCCCCCAAACCAAAATAACCTCTCCTGTTCTTTCACCAGTATTCCTCTTATTAATACATGGAACCACCATCAACCCAATTGCTCAATTAAAAAAACTCAAAAGTCCTTTTCTTTTTCTCATTCCCACTTTTTTTTAAATTAATTTCAGAGGTAGAATTTAGTGATTCATCAGTTGCATACAACATCCAGTGCTCATTACATCAAGTGTCCTCCTTAATGCCCATCACCCAGTTACCCCATCCCCCCACCCACCTCCCCTCCAGCAACCCTCAGTTTGTTTCCTAGAGTTCAGCATCTCTTATAGTTTGCCTCTCACTTCTAATGAAGCCATTCATCAAGTCCGGTCTGTTCTACCTCTGCAATATATCTCAAATCAGTCCACTTCCATCCATTTCTACTACCACCATATGTATACAAATCTCTACCAGTATCTCTTGTCTAGACTCTATCAAGAGCCTCCTAATTGGTGCCCCTGCAGCCACTCGGGCCTCTTATAACTCTATGCTCCACAAAAAAAGCCAAAATGATCTCTATTAAACATAAACTTGGACCATACTATGACTTTGCTTTAAAAATTTTCAATCATTTCCCATGGCACTCCCAACAGATCTGTAAGAGAGATAGCCCCTGAATCTCTGCCATCTTATTTCACTCCATTCTCACTCTTGTTCCTTAAGCTATAAGCCATACTGGCCTTCCTTGTTTCCTTGAACCCCTTGAGCCACTATTCCCACCACCTGGAATGCTCTTATTCCAGCTATTCCTAGGCTGGCTTATTCTCATCTTTTAGAAGAAATCTTAGACCAAATGCCACCTCCTCAAAAAGCCTTTCTTGAACACCCATTCCTGACAACTCCCCAGTCACTCTTTCTCTTACCCCACCTTGTTTATGTCCTTCATAGCATTTCTCAAAATTCAAAATTATCATGTTTACTTATTTCATAACTTATTTACTATTTGTTCTTATTTGAATATAAACTCCATTTGGGCAGCGATGGTGTCTGTCTTCTCAGGTACTATATTCCCAGTGTGAGCATAGTGAACACAAAATAAATATTTGTTGAATGAATAAAGAAGCAACTATTGATTCAAAGGTAATTATAATAAAATCTAGAGCTTCAGAATTTCCTGAAATGTAGGTTCTACAAATGTTCAAAATATTTTGACTCATTAACTAAGTGGAGCTCTTTGATACTGAGAATGGATTGGCCAAATTAAATTTACTAAATTATCTCTAAAAAGCAGACTAGTTTGAAATATTTACAATGTTAAAATTCCATAAAATAAAAATGTGAGCATTAAATCATACTGCCATGGTATCAGAGGTAATTTTTACCATCTTGAAGGTAAGATACTTAGTGAGCAGTTAGTTGGCGACAAGGGCTCAAAAGGCACTCTTGTAAAACACAACTTGACATTAAAAACCTAGTATTTTCAGAACCATATAGAAACATCATCAGTTATAAAAATGGCAGTTTTACATTTTGCCAAATGTGCTCTATGCTACTAGAATTTAAACCTTTCAGTCAGAACCAACCTTCCTTAAACATTTTAAAAACTGTTTTCTGATTTAAAAGAATATATCAGTCAATTCCTGATCCTCCAAAATGAGCTTACTTACCTATGTTCAAGTTGATAATATTTACTACTTTAGAGACTGAGTCTTCTAACACACACACAGTCTAGAAGAAAAAATTATTTCACTTATGAAAATCAATCCTACCCTACCTATAATTCATTACAAGTTTTACCAAATAACTGGATGCAACCATGTTGACAGGGTATGGAGAAACCAACAAACCATTCATTGTTAGCAGTAATGTAAATTTGTATAACTTCTACTAAAAGCTAAAATCTGGTTTTTTAAAGATTTTTATTTATTTGAGAGGGAGAAGGAGAGAGAGCGAGCATGAGCAGGGGGAGGGGCAGGGGGTGGAGAAGCAGACTCCCGCTGAGCAGGGAGTCTGACATGGGGCTTGATCCCAGGACCCCGGGATCATGACCCAAGCCAAAGGCAAACGCTTAACCGACTGAGCCACCCAGGTGCCCCTAAAACCTAAAATTTAATGATACCCAACAAAATAAAAAAGGTATACACTATGAAAACAATTCCATTTAGAGCAATTTTATCCACACACTTATATATGTATGAAATGATGTATATGGTTTATGAATATTCACTAGAGTAAAATTTCATAAAAGAACTAGAAACAACTTAAATGTTCAGCTTACATACTTAACTTTAATATGGATTCATATGATGGAATACTATGGAGACATCAAAAAGAATGAGGCAGCCTTTACATACAAAAATGAAACAAAAGCCTAGATATTAAGTCAAAAATTCAAGAGGCAGAAAAGTAAATATAGTATATAGTGTTATAAAAATTATTTACACAGAAATATGCAGTATGTCTCTAGAAGGATATTCAAGAAACTGAATGTGGTTGCTTTATGATAAAAAGTGTCCACATAGAGGTCCACTTCCAGGATGAGATCATGAGTTCTGTGGACCCACTCCCCAGAAAATGAGAAAATTTGGCAAAGACTATTTTTAAAAACCCAGCATTTAAAGTCTCTGAAGGAAGATCTCAATTCAATAATCTAACCTACTGCCTTAAGAAACTAGAAACAGAAAAGCAAACTAAAGCCAAAGTAAGAAGAAAGTACAGGTGACCTCTGAATTACATGTGGTTCGAGTGCCAACCCTGGTGCAGTCAAAAATCTGTGTACAACTTTGGCTCCCCAAAAACTTAGCTAACTGACAGCCTGTTGACCATAAGCCTGGCCAATAACATAAACAATCGATTAGCACATATTTTATATGTATTATATACTGTATTCTTACAATAGAGTAAGCTAGAGAAAAGAAAATTCAAAATTTAGTTAGAATGGCTAAAATGAAAAAGACAGGAAACAACAAATGTTGGTGCAGATGCAGAGAAAGGGGACCCCTCTTACACTGTGGGTGGGAATGCAAGCTGGTATAGCCACTCTGGGAAACAGTATGGAGGCTCCTCAGGAGGTTAAAAATAGAGCTACCCTACGACAAAGCAATTGCACTACTGGGTATTTACCCCAAAGATACAGATGTAGTAAAAAGAAAGAGCACATTATGTGATGAGCACTGGGTATTATACGCAACTGATGAATTATTGAACACTACATCTGAAACTAATGATGTACTATATGTTGGCTAATTGAATTTAAATTAAAAAAATGTTATTATGAAAATCATAAGGAAAATACATTTACAGTACTATACTGTATTAAAAAAAAATCTGCATGAAGTGGACTCATGCAGTTCAAACCTGTGTTGTACAAGGGTCAATCATAAAGAATAATGATTAGAGCAAGAAATAAATGAAATAAAGAATAGAAAAACAGGAACACCTGGGTGGCTCAGTTGGTTAATCATCAGCCTTCAGCTCAGGTCATGATCCCAGGGTCCTGGGATCGAGCCCCGCATCGGGGTCCCTACTCAGGAGGAAGCCTGCTTCTCCTTCTCCCACTCCCCCTGCTTGTGTTCCCTCTCTCGCTGTGCCTGTCTCTGTCAAATAAATAAATAAAATATTTTAAAAAACCCTAAAAATAAGACTTAAAACTATAAAATCCATTGAAGAAAACAGGAGAAAAGCTTTATGACTTGGACTGTGCAATGATTTCTTGGATATGACACCAAAAACACAGGAAACAAAAGCAAAAACAGAAAAAAAAAAAAAAAAAGACTACCTTAAACTTAAAATCTTCTACACATCAACGGATATAATTAACAGAATGAAAAGGCAATCTATGGAATGGGGGAGAATATTTGTAAATCACTTATCTGATAAGGGGTAATTATCAAGACTTTTTATTTAAAGATTTTATTTATTTATTCATGAGAGACAGAGAGAGACACACAGAGAGAGAGAGAGACAGAGACAGAGACAGAGAGGCAGAAGGAGAAGCAGGCTCCCCGTGGAGCAGGGAGCCTGATGCAGGACTCGATCCCAGGACCCTGGGATCATGACCTGAGCCGAAGGCAGACACTTAACCAACTGAGCCACCCAGGTGCCCCAAGACTTTTTATATAAAGAACTCCTACAACTCAACAACAAAAAAAACGAATAACCTGATTTGAAAAAAATGGGCTAAGGACTTGAATAGACATTCTCCAAAGATATACACATGACCAATGAGCACATGAGAAGATGCTCTACATCACTAATCATTAGGGAAATGAGAATCAAAACCATGAGATACCACCTCACATCCACAGGATGGCTATTAAAAAAAAAAAAAAACAACAGAAAATAAGAAGTGCTGGTGAGGACATGGAGAAATTGGAACCCCTTTGTCCTGCTGATATGAATATAAACTCAATATGGGAACACTTATAGAAAACAGTACAAGTGTTTCTTCAAAAAAGTATAAATAGAATTACCATATGATTCAGCAATTCTACTCCTGGGTATATAACCAAAAGAACTGAAAGCAAGGACTTGAACAGATAATTCTATACCCATATTCATAGCAGCATTATTTTCAAGAACCAAAAATGAGAAGTAATCCAAGTATCCATCAAAAGATAAAACAGACATGGGTGGACCTAGAGGGTATTATGCTAAATGAAATAAATCAGACTTAGAAAAACAAATACCAGGGGCGCCTGGGTGGCTCAGTCGTTAAGCGTCTGCCTTCGGCTCAGGTCGTGATCCCAGGGTCCTGGGATCGAGTCCCACATCGGGCTCCCTGCTCCGCGGAAAGCCTGCTTCTCCCTCTCCCACTCCCCCTGCTTGTGTTCTGTTCTCGCTATCTCTCTGTCAAAATAAATAAAATCTTAAAAAAAAAAAAAAAAAAAAAAAAGAAAAACAAATACCATATGATTTCACTCATGTGGTATCTAAAAAACCAAACAAATGAATAAACAAACAAAAAACAGAATTAGATTTATAAATACAGAGAACTGATGGCTGCCAGAGGGAAGAGGGTAAGGCAGATAAGCAAAATGAGTGGTGGGGAGGTGGGATATACAGGCTTCCAGTTATGAAATGAATGAATCACGGAAATAAAAGGTACAGCATAGGGAATATAATCAATGATATTGTAATAGCATTGTATGGTGACACATGGTAGCTACACTTGTGATGAACATAGCATAATGTATAGAGAAGTTGAATCACTATGTTGTACAACTGAAACTAATGTAACATGTGTGTCAACTATACTAAAATGAAAAAAAATTAAATAAAAAGGGATTGAGATTTAAAAAAAAGGACGAGTAGATAAACAGAATGTCGTATACACATACAGTGGAATATTATTCAGCCTTAAAAAAGGAAGGATATTTGTACACATGCTATATTAGGGATGAACCCTGAAGACATGCTAAGTGAAGTAAGCTATTTACAAAAGGACAAACACTGTATGATTCCATTTATATGAGGTACTTAGAGTAGACTCAAACTCAGACTAAAAATAGGATGAAGGCTACAAAGGGCTATGGGGAGGAGGGAATAGGGAGTTATTGTTTAATAGAGTTTCAGTTTTACAAGATGAAAAGAGTTCTGAGGATGGACAGTAGTAATGGTAGCACAACAACGTAAATGTATTTAATGTCATTAGATGGTAAATTTTATGTTATGTGTATTTAATTACAATTACAAAAAATTAAATAGAGAAGCAATGAAACGAAACTGGTTCTTTGAAAAGGTCAGCAATATTGACAAACTAGCTAGGCTAAATACACACAAAAAAAGAGAGAAAATTCAAATCACTAAAATCAGGAATGAAAGGGGGAAATCACTACCAACTTTACAGAAATAAAAGTATCATAAGGTACATCAATAAATTAGATAAAGTATATGAAACGGACAAATTCTAGATAAACAACTAAATGTTGAGCATGACCCAAGAAGAAAGAGAACAGCTGAAAAGAACTATAACAAAAGGTTGAACAGAAATTTAAAATCTTCCCACTAATAAAAGCCCATGACCAGATGGCTTCACTGGTAAAAATCAATCAGATATTTAAAGAAGAATTAATGCCAATCCTTCACAAACTTTTCCAAACAGTAGGAGAAAGAATACTTCCTAACTTATTCTAAGAGGCCAGAATTAACCGGAAACCAAAACCAGACAAAGGCATACAAGGAAAAATCAATATCCCTTATCATCCACAAGCTATCGAGAAACCAAATCTGGCAACATCTAAAAGGGATTGTTCTCCATGACCAAGTGGGATTTAGCAGATTAACATTATCAACAGAAGAAAGGGTAGGAACCACATGATCACATTTGCAGATACAGAAAAGAGCATTTCACAAAATTCAACACTGTTTCATGATAAAAACACTCAATGAACTAAAAATAGAAAGCCAGTTCATCAACCTGATAAGGGGCATCCATGGAAATTCCTAATATCACACTGCAGAAAAATGAAATTATTTCCCCAATAATCAAGAAAAAAACCAAACTTGTCCATTCTTGCCACTTTTCTTCAACATTAATTGTACCTGAGGTTCCAGATACAATTAGTTAGGCAAGAAAAAAAAAAAAAAAAGATCTAGATTTTAAAGGAGGAAATAAAATTATGTTTGCAGAAAACATAATGTGTATAGAAAATCCTAAGGGATCCACTGAAAAGTTGTAAAAATTAAAAAATGAGTTTAACAAAAAAAATGAATTCAACAAGGATTCA